AAAAGGAATGGATTCATAAGATTTGGCTGGTAGCTTTTGGAATAGAGCTTACCAATTTGAGAAGGAAAATGACATTGACCTACTTACAAGGTCACAGGGAAAAATATGTCAAGCAACTTCTGAAGAATCAAAAAGCATAGAATCTTGTAATAATATTTTGCTGGTAGTTTCAACAGATGGAGCCAACAAAGTTTGTGAGGGAAATATTTTTAGTGCAATATAATATTTAATGAGAATATTTTGCTATGACTGCTTAAATATTCCGGTGAGTGATACAGGCCCTCTTGGGCCTCTTGTTTCTGCATGAATTGTAGATCTTCTGTAGTTAATTTCAGCCACTTAAAGTACTGGTAATACCTTTGCTTATGTCTGGCTTCTTAATGATTTCTTTTATCATGCGATTTTCTTTTACCAATAAATGATCTTGTTTTTTGTCTGAATTGCCTCCCTTGAATTATATGACTGCACAACAACTGTACACTATCCTGTATATATGGTGGCTTTCTTTTTAGATTGTTTAGTCCAGACCTCCAGAATACTGGCCGTGGTATCAATGCAGTGTTTATAGATCGTAAGTAAGCGTTCAAGGTATCATATACAAATCTATTTTACTTGTAGTTCCTTCTTCTCAACAGGTATCAAGGCAAAGTTTTTAAAAAGAAAAAAATCTGCTGATTTTAAAAGTAAAAAAATCAGGGTGAATTTCAATATACTAGCTGTATAACCTAAAAGTTTCAATGTAATGTTGCTTTCATAGTTCCGTGGATGCAGTGGAACCACATATATGCTACTGTGAAAAGAAAGGTGATTTACCTGACTCAAAACGTGTACACTTGTTACCAACAGACTGGTAAAATTTTGTATCAGCAGAAGTGTTTGTAAAATAATACTACAATAGAAAATACTCACAGATGTATCATAATCATATTATGCAGGGTCAGAGAAGACAGTATGTCATTAAAGATAGGAGGAGACAGGTGTTGGTAAAATCAGGTTACGCTGTATTACATCAGTTCTAATGGGCACAATGTACTAGGTTATAAATTGTAAGGTGAAAATTGTGCGTGATCTGTAAATTCCCTGAGTTAAAAATAAGAAAACTTAACAATACCCATTGGGGACGATCTTTATATCGGTGAAATGAACTTTTCTGTAGTGTACTGTCTACATTTGGTAGTGAGATACTGACTATTCATTAGAATGATTCAACGAGAGGCTGTGGTGGCTCAAGAACTTCTAATACTTTTTCTCAAACAACTTGTGAATCACAACAGTTACTGGTCAAAAACTTAATAACCCATGCTGATCGAAAGCTCATGCAAAATGATCACCAATACCCATATCCCTTATGCTGTAGTTGTCACACGTTCAGAGGGAAAGAGTTTTTGACATGCTCCATATCAATTTGAAATGTTTAAATGTACACCGACTAGCTAACATAAATAATTTGTGATTTCAGCTGATACCTTGGAAATTAAAGACCAACAAATATTTGACACATATCTTGACGGTAAGTAAATCACCGCAACTGCATACTATTTATTTGTCTAATAGTTGGAAATGAAAAGCATGCATTGCTTTCATATTATCTGGTAGACCCTTCATATTCACTGACTGATCATTAAGTGGGGTTTATGTGACATCATGATATGATATCTCTATATAGATAATCTATATAGAGATATCATATCAATAAACAAAGTAGTCCACTGAACACAGAGTAATATAAGTTACATTCTCTCATCTCTGTACTTTAAGATAGAACTGTTCAGGGTAAGAAAGGGGTGTACTCTGTAAGAAATTTCTATCTTACAATCCATTTCACGTGACGTGATGTCGCAATGGCTCAATAATGACGTGACGGCACAAATTTGGAAAACTCTGCCGCTGCAATGCGGAAAAAAAGAGTGACGTGATGAAATTAGAAACTTTTACAATATATTTACTGTATATGTTAGAAAGATGAGATTATTTTTTCTTCGCAAACATTGTTTGCAGATATGGGGTATGATTAATCTCACCAACTGATTAATTTCGTCCTAAAAGCTCAGGGGAAAAGTTGTTATTTTCAAAATGGTAGCCAGTTTAAATGCATCTTCATGGTTCCTGAGCTTATTTTGGTCGCTGGAATGAGAGAAAAATACTCTTTTTTGTCCAAGGGTGTAGGATAGAGAAATTCCACCTCGGTATTTTCAAATTTGGCAAAACCCTTATGAAAGCCTCAGGTTTTACTAAATTTGAAAACCCCTCGGGTGGAATTTCCCTATCCTACACCCCTGGGCATGAAAGAGTCATATCATTCGGTAATTTTTATATGCCCGTCGAATGAGCTTCCTAAATATTTTTAAAAATTTAACTGTAAACCATCGAAACCGGGGCTATTATTGTTTTTTTGTGTGCATTTGATTTTTGTCTGTATAACTAATGTCACGAATACCATTTATTTATTAATCATTTATATATTAATGTGTGTGGGTGTGTAACTGTTAGTGTAACTGTTAGTGTAACTGCTAGTGTAACTGTTAGTGTAACTGCTAGTATAACTGCTAGTGTAACTGTTAGTGTAACTGTTAGTGTAACTGTTAGTGTAACTGCTAGTGTAACTGTTAGTGTAACTGTTAGTGTAACTGTTAGTGTACCGTAACTGTTAGTGTATGTATAGCTGTAACTAGTCTTTTGTTGGCCTTTGGTACAATATTGCTAATTCACACCAGATAATACTTCACCAAATGTATGTACTGGAAGGATGATCTGGTTGCAAAAATCAGTAAAAGTGGAAATGTTTTGCTAATTCATATTTACTAAATCAGTTTGAAATTAAGCACAAGTAAACATATCAACAAACTGATACTATGCATCATGATTGAAAAAAAATGTTAAAATTCTGAATAATTTGAAGTGTTAACATTTGATTTTCACAACCAAAAATTGCCAATTTTACAAAAACGAATATAATCATCTAATGATAAACTGTATTAACTGTGTATTAGTATTGTAACATGTACAGTGGAAGTGGTGAGATACAAAAAAACAAAACAAAAAAAACAACCCAGATCAACGTTAATGAAAGGAGATGCTTTGTCATAAGTCTCTTCAAAGACTATTATATATTAATTTGTGTGGGTGTGTAGCTGTTAGTGTGTGTGGGTGTGTGCTTGTGTGTTTATTCTTTTTTTGTCTCTGTATATAGCTATAGGTACATGCTTGATAAGTATTTATTCATAGTGAATTAACATTTTTTTTATTATCAACAACTCTTCAGCTTTAGGAATTTTAACAACAATCATGTACCATATGTGTTATATCATGTTTTATACAAAAAAATGAAAATGAATAAAAAACAATAAAAAAACCCACAATTACTTAGCAATACGTTTTATCAGCATGACGAGTAAATTTGAGGGTTTTCTATTTCATACATTTAACAGGGCATGTCATACCACAGATCAAACCCTTGAAGGGTATAAGCTCAATGTATTAATATCATAGTAGAGCTTAACCCTTTCACCACTGTAGACCATAATGGACTCTTCCAAATTAATACATGGTAGAGTCTACTAAAGTTACATAGGGGTGAAAGGGTTAAAGAAGATAATTTTAGAAGGTGATGCCATTAAACATTCTACATTATGTTTTGGTTAGGTCACAATAAGATCTTGCCATGTTGTCCTGTGAAAAGTATTTCTTCTTAGAAACCATTATAACAGGTTTACAATTTGAACCTATACACAAAAATGGATTATTTCAAGATGGGTCATGATCATTTGCAAGTTTGTTTAACAAGGCAGTAATATCGATAATGATTGTTTTATCAATGGCAAAAAGAGTTGGGGCTCATTATTCAGCTTATAACTGGTAAACCAGTATGTTTATGTTACAGTGTACCCTCTTCTACGTTACGTCAGAGACAAGGTGCCCAGAAATACACTTGTTCTAGCTGTCAGCTTTGATGAAGTGTCAGAAGGGTGAGTGGAACATATTTCTTACGTTTATCTTAAGAATACATACTACTTCATTGTGAAAGCCATCTCCATTTCAAAAGCGTCCTGGTATGTCCACACGAAGAAATCAATAAAATCTCATTGATAATTACTTAATGACACTTTGGAAAGTTACCTAAAGAAATTTCCATTTCAAAAGCGTCCTGGTGTGTCCGCACGAAAAAATCAATAAAATCTCATTGATAATTACTTAATGACACTTTGGAAAGTTACCTTAAGAACTGTTACCTTGATGAAACCAGATATTGTATAGAATAGTCTCCCACACGATGTTATTTCATCTCGTAAAGTATTTGACTTTGAGAAAAACTTGGGATGAATTATGGAAAGTTCTTGATTTGAAGTACGATCAAACAGCATCTTATGTATAGATTTATTAACACTGTGCTAGAAGGGAGATAACTCTGACACATGTGAAGTATGTGTGGTAGTAAAAAATCTAAGTTTATACAGTATAAGAGTAGAAACTTTCAATGGCTAAATATCACTCTTAACTAGTTGTCAGTTCATGTTATACTTAACTTGATGACCTTATTTGTCGGCAGTAGCCCTGTGTCATAAGGTATATTTGTTATTGTGTTTGTAGCCTAAAAGAAGAGGGAAGAAATGTCTTTGTTGCTATGGGCAGCAACCTGATCTCAAGAGTACAGTTCCGGGACAATTTTATGATCGTTGGCCAACTGGGTCTGAGGCGAGGCCATGCTATAGAATTTGTAAGTACATTGTATAATAATGTCTCGGTCAAGGCCAATCTATAGCTGCTGTTTAATAGAAAAATTGTCTACGAGACAAGACAATACTATAGTTAAGAGTGTTTTCAGTACAGTTGGTTCCTGCACAAAGCCATGCTTTGGAGTATGTCAGAATGAGATTGGCTAAAAGAAGGCCATGCTATAAAGTTTGTAAGTATATTGGGTTTTGATTCATTATGACTGTTTTTGATAGCAAAATATGTTCATTATTTATGAAATGGAGTGTAAGCAGTCTACATGTAACAGACTTAAGCACCAATAATAGAAAATAAAAATAAAAAGTAAATTTCCCTTTGGACTTTTATTTTATCGCAGAAATGGTTTTACCTCAGGACTTATATTTTACCATTAAAACGTTAAATTGTATTAATATTTATGTTATTTCTTATAGCCAGCTGGTAAGGACATGCATGTCGAAGCCAATTTTTTCTACTTTCTTTTGAAAAACAAAAATGTTAATACCATTAGGTTGCATAGATTGAAAGTGGCAGTACATAATATATTTAAAGGAGAAATAACTAAGCAAAACTTGTTCATTTCAGCATAAATCCAGGGAAACAAGTGCTTTTGCTCCACCAATAGAAAAACAAGGATGTTTTGGTTTACCAAGTAAGTACCTCCCACGGTTTGTGGATTGTTTAATTCAGTAGACCAATTGGAAACACAAAGATTACCTCCCCTTGTTTGTGCCTTGTGTTCTTCGTTTGAGATTATTACAGACAAAAATTATAAACTCCAATGGTTTGTGTCTTGTGTTTTTATCCACAGCTCAACTAGTTGCCAGGGGATATAGAAAAGTGGGTCCGTCTGTGCGTCCGTCCATGCACCTGATAAGGAAGAATTGCTAACATCTATATCTTGCCTACTACAAGTGCTATATTGATTAAGCTTACATCAATTGTGCATCTAGGGTTGCTCTACTGAATGCATATTGTGGATGCTGATTTGACCTATATTTTACGCTTCATGCGCGCGGGGGATATCAATGACAGCGTCTTCTTGTTCAATTTTCAGTGCAGTTTTGTTGACTTTTGGGTTCGAGACACATAGAAATATCTTCCCTGGTTTGCATTTGGTGTTTTTCAGTGGAGTCTATAGGAAAAAGAGACTCTCTCCACTTGCATGTATGTGTGTTCTGATTTGTCAGTTAGGGGTTACAAGGAAACACAGCATTATCTCCCTTGGTTTGCAATTTGTGTTTCACAGTTGGGTCTTTAGGGGATGTAGAGAAGTATCTCAAGCAGCTGATATGTATGTTTAATGGGTTTTCAGATGGCTATTAGAGACAAATGGTTATCTCCCTTGGTTTATGTCTTGTGTTTTTCAGTGGGGCCTATTGGAGACATGGAGGATTATCTCCCCTCCGTACAGACATTGGGAGCTATACAGCCTGGACCTGATTTTAAGAATTGTGGATTAGCATCTGGATGCGAGGATGGAACATTTTCTATGTTGGTTGATACAGGAGAAAGTGACAAAAAAGCTCCCAAAATTTGTGTTGCTGGAAAAATGTAAGAAATGATTTATGCAGTTTTTATACGCCCGTCGGAGACGGGGACGTATTATGTTATCACGTGAGCNTTCGTAAGAGGTGATTTTGAATTATAAAGATTTTCTTGGTAATCTATAGCATCTTGGGTTATTTGAATGCTCATACTGAAGGTATCATGGTTTGTATTGCTGTAACTTGTCTTTTGTTGGCCTTAGGTACAATATTGCTAATCCACACCAAATAATGCTTCACCAGATGTACTGGCAGGATGTTCTGGTTGCAAAAATCGGTAAAAGTGGAAATGTTTTGCTAATTCACATTTACTTAATCAGTTTGAAATTAAGCACAAATAAACATATCAACAAACTGATACTATACATTAAATTAAGACAAAACTGTTCAAACTCGGAATAATTTGAAGTGTTAACATTTGATTTTCACAACTGAAAATTTCTAATTTTACAAAAACGAATATAATCATCTAATGATAAACTGTATTAACTGTGTATTAGTATTGTAACATGTACAGTGGAAGTGCCAAGATACAAAAAAACAAAACAAAAAAAACAACCCAGATCAACGTTAATGAAAGGAGATGCTTTGTCATAAGTCTCTTAAAAAAAGTATTGGGAGATTGAAATTTAGCTGGAAGTAAAATTTGCAGCTCAAATATCTTCATTAACAGTTTATGAATGTGAATAAGATCATCAACATTCCAGGATAATTTTGTAATTCAAAGTTGATACAAAATGACAAAGAGAGCTTATCTTGACATGAAAATTAATGGCGAGGCAACAGAATTTCCTGTGAATCAGAATCCCGATCAACATTTAGCATCTGTGAACAAAATGTTCATTCTGTCAAAGCCTTGATTAGGATGTTTCCACTGTAATACTATTACAACACTGTACTTATCCCACAATAAGCCCGGGTCTAGTAATAAGCCCATCATTTTGATTACAGTCACAGAAGTAGAATTACCAATAAGGGCTATTTCTATGTCCCTTGATAAGCCCTATGCTCCCTTTTGGTCAGAAATTATGTGTTGTCTCCCCTGGGCTTGTTGTAGGATAAATACGTAATATAGAGTGAGTATATACGTAGTATAGTTATTTATAATCAGCATTTATTTTGGACAGATGCATGTCTTGAAATGTAATACTGTATTGTGTTAGCCAATTAACTTTGTTAGTAGATGGGAGGTCTTAGGGGCAGGTTTGATTTAAGTTACACACAAAGCATTGAATCAAATAGGTTTTCTGGTAAAGGAAGACAATGCTGAGTGAAATAATTACAATTATGAAAACTATTATTATGCAAGCATGCTCTAACAGTAAGTGAGGATGAGGATAGAATTGAGGGTATTTTAGTTATCCGTATTTACATGTATATATGAACTAACTGCATGTTTTGTTTCCATGGATACTAATATAGAATTGTAGACAAACAGATCAACGATGCAGGCCGAGGGTTTAACATGGCGGTGATAGATCATGTCTCCTTCCAGGTCAAATCTGTCTCCAGATATGACACATACCTAAAAGGTAAAGGTTTCACGTCTCACCTAAGATGCCCCCCCCCCATCCCCCATCCCCCGGGGATCCCCTGTCCTCTATCCCATACCCTCACACAACCCCAATCCACCAGCTGCCAGCTCTCTCCATAGCACGAGTGTCCTTTGGCCCGGACACAAGACTTTGACATTTTGACAGATAGATGTCGCGTACGTGTCGCTCACACCAGACATCTATCTGTCAAAATGTCTAAAGATAAGATTGAAAAAAACCCAAGGCCAGGCTTCAGTTCAACTTCTTCCCTTTAAATCTGATGAGGAGCTCATTGTCTTAAGTCATAAGACATGTTAATCATTTTTGATGGTACGTACAGCTGTAACAATAAACAGTGTATCAGTACTCCAAGGATAATCGAGATGAAGATGTTTCCATTATCAGATCCTGTGTAATTTGCAAACCAGTGTACAATGCATAGATACATTTTTCATCTCTTGAAGTTCATTCAAATTGTACAAAGGGATTAAATCAAGTCCTTTCTAAATGTCAGACCTTCAAATTTGCTAATGTTTTTTTTCAGAAAAAAATGTAATCGTTAGGAATCTGTAATTGCACTCTTAGCCTAATTTCAAACAAGTAATGTTGGTACTTGTGGTAATCTTGAGGATGACATTGAAGCCGGGTTATGATTTGAAGATTAATTATCTTTATAACTTCTACATGATCTGATCTGTATCGTGATCTCCATCTGACCTGTATATGACCTCTACATCGACCTTATCCCATCCAATACACTATATACCAGCTGTCATACCTAACACTCTGTCCAGCTTGACATTTTGTTGCTTTGACATGTGATTGATTTGTTTTAACATTAAAAGTCTTCATCGGGCTAATTTTTAACAGCAGATATAATACTATCTACGTAATTAGGCCAGTGGGCACAGGATCACAGGAATTCCACTTATATCCGTGTTCAGATTTCAATTAAATATAAAACGGTTCTCGAAGGAATCATTCTAAATTTAATGAAAATAATACAGTCATGTACATGCACATAAAGTCAAATTTTTTGAACTTCAGTTTTAGACAACATTCAACAAATTCTGGACTTAAGTGTAGATTTTTTCATGATCCTGGGACCTGGTTGCGTTTGAGTGATGAAGTGGATTTAAACCCTAGTGTGTTTGTACTGGGGCGAAGTTGAACTCTTTACTGCTGATACAATGTACATAGTATATGTCAACAGCTTTCTAAAGTACTACAAATGCAATGTGGTTCAATATGTATTTTTATGCCCCCGCCATAAAATGGGGGGGCATATGGTGTTGCCCATGTCTGTTGTGTCGCGTCCTGTCTCGTCCCGTCCCATCCCATGAGCGGGGGCATTTATGTCTTAGACATTTTCTAGTTTATTTCTGAGTAGTCCTTGATAAAAATATATATATTGTTTATCCACATTTTTTTTTAACATTTATTCATCTAGACATTTTACAAAATAGTAGTCCTATATTTTATTACTACATGTACCACCAAGTAGTTACAGGAAAACACAAAGATATCGAAAATAATTTTTATTTGAAAATAAAATTCTGTTATCCACTACTTAAAAAAAATATGGCACAAGATAATTGTAGGAGAGATAAGTTAACCAGGTAACAGTGATACTGTCTGGTTTTCTAACAGTAGTTTGTCGTTTCTGAATAACCGTGTTTATAGACTTTATTTAAATATTCAGTTTAAAGTGACAGTAAAACATACAACAGTTATAGCTGTATGTACTACAGATAATTCTGAAGTAAACAGATTAAAAATGATCCTCCTTTAGATACGAAATACTTACAGAAGTAGAACTTATTATTAAATAATGAAACTGACAACATTTTATGTCTGATTGTTGTGTCTTTGAACGGAAACATGACGAAGAAGTTTTCCGATTTTTTTACGCAATTTATTTATGTTATTAAATAAATTGATTTCCCATTTTTCAATGATTGTTTGTACACAAATGATTCTCCTGACCTAAATTTAGTAAGACAATTTTTTGGTACATATACAGGGTTGGAATTTCCTAAATGTATTGAAGACTTTCAGTGTGTTTGTGATGCTGTTGAACATTTGTGCATCTTGCTGGGTGATGGTTCGAACACAGGATGAACTATGAAACTCCTTGCATGAAAAAGATTCAGTTTGCCTTAACTATCTTTTAACAAGACACTTAATAAGCTCAGCTTTAGTTATGAAATATTTGTGTGCTATTGAATTCACTTTAAATTTGAAATGATTATGAAAAGTCCATATTTTGAATTCAAATATAATGTAATAACTTATAAAGAGGCAAACTTTTAAAAGTAAAAAAAAAATCAGTTCTGACTTAAAACCTCTGTTTTTCCATTTTAGTAACTGTGAACAGCTGATATTTACAAATGATATTTATGAAACATCAAATACCTCATTATCAAAATTTAACAGGGAAAAAAATAATTTTGGGTTAAAGAATCTTTCTTGGAAATTTGTTACCAGGGTAACTGGTTTTGCTTTTGTGTTATTTTCATGTGTTGTATGAATATGAATTTGAACTTAAAATGTTTTAATGTCAACAGATAGCCTTAGCTTAGAATTTTTCCTGGACAAACTTGAGCCTGATGACATTGTTGTAGCTGTTGTCAATGACGACGGATCAAGAAAGTAAGTTTACCTATGATTAATACTGTTAAATTATCTGACACTCATTTCAGGATATTATTTCAAAATATTTCATGCTTCTCATCATAGTCTGCTAGAGTAAAAGGATTTTTTTTCAGAATTCCCAAACATCTGTGTAAGGATACCACAACTTTTCACATATCTATAATGTATTTGTACCTATAGCTGTATATTTCCCATTATCTCACATTGCTTCATGTCATGATTTGGTCAATATCATATTTCAATAAAACACCAATTTCCTGTCTGCATGTTGTACATGATAGATTGTTTTATATCATGTTATTTGGCATTAATTCTATTCCTAATGGATATTGCTTTAAAATTGATAAATAACAATGTGGTCTTGTTTTAAGGCCCTAAGGGTTGATTTTTACATCTTTGCTAAGTGTAACAACATAGTAAACAGCTATTGAGTAAGGACCTTCATTGTGATAAGATATATTTACATTGTAGTAATATTTAAAATCTGAAATACATAACTTAAACTTTATCTTAGAACTTGTTTTAATGTCATATACCGGTGCATGATTGTATAATACTTGTATTTGCCTTTTCTGTTGGTCGGTCTGTTAGTTAATTCACCCACACAAGTCACATCATAGTTAGACTTTAGTTCATCTCCATTACTCTTGATATGAGAATTGATCAGTCACCAAATCATATGTATGGATAAATCCTGAGGATTCCTTCACCAAGATATCAAATGCGAGGGCATCTGTATGTTTTACAAAATGTTTAGTCTTATATAAAGTCATTTTCATACAAATTGCAATGTATTTGTAACAGATTTATTTTATCCTATTACTTTTGCAGGCTGAGTCTACACGCCAAGGAGCTCTTCAACAAGTTAGGCAGTAGTATGGTGCAGAACCTCAAGTTTAGGGACGTCTGGTATTTTGTAGGTCAGCGTGGTATCGATGGGTTCACTAAACATGAAAAGGTGAATAGCTATGTTTTCACTTACAGTAGGTAATGTCTTGCCAAAGTTTATCTTATAACATGGTAGTATCTAATATAGAATAAGAATTGTGTTATCTCTGCTGACACTGATTTGGTACTATCATGCACATGTACCATCTTTTTACAGGTTTTCTCTTATACAGAATCTGTGTATGTAAGATATAGATTTCTCATACCTGTGTGAACAGCATTTAAGATTTAAACTCCTGTGTGTATAAGATATACCATACAGAGCTACTATATAGTAATCTTATATATATATGTGTCAGAGAGAGAGATTGGTATGAAAAGATATTTTTTTCTAGGTCAGTATATGAAATGTTGTGTATGTACGGTGAAATTTGACTTTGCCAACACTTGCCTTGAACCATGTCCTGTCTGATGTGATTTTATGGCACAAAAGTTCTTTTCTCTTTGTTTATAAAGTGATCAGCATTTTTGTTGGATATACAAGCTGTAAGATCTGGTCCCCTTTGTACCAGTTAAGTTTTGATTCACTGCAGTTTTAGAAAAAAAAAATAGTTTTGAATTCTCCTAGACCCTTAATTTAGAAGACATTCTATATTTCAGAAGCTATATGATTATTCGTATAATCTTTGAGACGACCTACGAACTAGGTTGTGATAAAGCGATATATAAGAACCTCAAATTATTATTATTATTATTATAAATTTTAGAAGTTCATCCTTTTTCTAAACTTGATTTTCTTGAACAATCCCAGAATGGGTGTTCAATTGTCATCATATCATCTTTCAATTATTACATTATTCATCCTTCAGGTTTTAAGTTTAAATTTGAACTCTGTGTTTTCTGACCGATACTTCTATGTGTTGTAGATCAGTTACGCTGGGTATGATGGTGAATGGCCAAAAAACTTACATAGTTCTTTCTGTGTTAGTAAAAAATGTAAGTATCTTGTGGAAGTTTGCACCTAAAGGACAAACTTCATTATCAAAAGGCATGTGAAACAGTGAATGATATCTGTCTCTTCTCTCTTAAGGATTATGTGCTGTGATATGTGTTAGAGTTATTTCCCTTGAAATAAAATCATTATTGTGACGTATCTTAAACTTCAGAATTTTCTCTGTACTATATATACATGCATGTTTGCCAACCTTTCAAATGTTGAAACCACGTGGCAAAATCTGAAAATGTCGGGAAAGTTTTGAAAAAGACTACATTTGACAAACTAATTGTGCAAAATGCTATAATAGAAGCTGTTCAGTGCAATGAATTAAACACATTGATGTGAATGTAAGATGCATGTAATTCTGAGATACAGAGAGAGTTATACAAGATGTCGGGAGTAGATATCTGTTCACTAATCTGTTTACTAAATGTACAACGTTGTCACTCAAAATTTTGAATCTGATTTTGTTGCACAGTATTATAATATTACAACCGAAAACAATTGTACCAATAGTGATAGACTTTGCATAATTATATTTCAGTCACCATAGGCAATATATGATGTACAGTTTCTATGCAAACTATACTGCATTCCCTGCCTATTTATTGCTTTATGTAATATCAAAAAGATATGCCGCATGGAGGCACGGTAGTCTAGTGGTAAGATGTCGGGTTCGTGACCGAAGGGTTGAGGGTTTGAGTCACGTCACGGCACTGTGTTGTATCTTTGAGCAAGATACCTAACTCCGCTTGTTGCAGTCTACTCAGCTGTAAATGAGTATGTGGTTGGGCAGTGCTAGAATTGTAAAATGCTAGCTGTGAGCGTTGAAATGGCAGCACCGGCTGTATGCTCCACAGGGAGTTGAGAAAGATATTGGCTGGTTGCAAAGGCCCTAAAACCATGGATAATAATTTGTGAACCGCTTTGAGACGACCTACAAACTGAATTGTAGTAAAGCGGTATATAAGAACCTTAAATTATTATTATAAGTTATTTGATAAACTAAAGCAGTTCTGTTGCATCTGGTTATGTTGGAAACTTTGAGATTTGACAAAGGTTATTGAGTGTTTTTGTATCTTGTGTTTGCAGTAGAGGGATTGAAGGTGGCCCCAGATCCTGGTGGTTATCGTAATGAAGGCAGACGGGCGTTCTGTAAGAAGTATGACGGCTATGCAGACTTTTGTGAGGGTAAGTATATAATTGTTTATTATTTGACTAGGGTGAGGAAGACAAGCATTCTGTAAGAGTTACCATGGTTAGGCAGATTTGTGTAAGTGTACATGTATGTTTGTACTCATATAAAATCATTTTGTAAACAACTGTTTCTAAAATTGTGTTTTAAATTAAATTCACAAAAAGAACGACAACAGATAAAGATGTATCAACATTAATGAAATGTCAATTAGAGACAAATTCTTGTATGATGAATGCAAAAAATCTATACTGTAGAGGAATTGAGTAATATGATGGTACAATCTGCAATTGAAAGTGGGTCAGTTAATATAAGTCAGGGTTGAAGACAATTTTTTTTCTTTAAGTACATATACAATAAATAGTTACAAAAAGTCAGCAGAAAGCATTGTACTGTAGATTTAGTATTTTACTTAATATGTTGATTATTGATTAAAAGTACAGTTTTTTTTTGTTTTTTATTACACAGTATCAAAATTTGATAGTTTTGATTTTAAATTAGAAACGTTTTGGATATGACATAATGTACTGAATATTACTTTTCAGCGTCAAAGATTGATAAGACGATCTCTCCTGTGGGCCTTGTGGATAAAAGTCTGTTTAATAACCCCATATTTGACGTCCCCATCATCATAATACCAGGTAAGACCAACTGCATGTAGCTAGTGGAGGTGAGGAGCTTACAAGTGTGCTCAAATATCAACGATGATCTATACTCATGGTCACATGTGAAGCAAGGCACTGTTTTGTGACCCCAACCATGCACAATTATTTTTGTAGACAGACCCATAGGTGTCAGTCATTCCCGGGGTAGTCATGGAAAATCCGTAAAATAGTTAGCAGAAACCCCAATTTGGCACATCTCCCACATTAGGGTCAACTTAACCTCAGAATTTGGCAGTTATTCCTTATAAAACCCGTTACAATCACAAATCTCACAAAGTATTGAAGAACAGCCCAAAGACTGACACCTTGTGATTACAACAGATGCCAATAGCCTGTGAAAATGTGCTAGTTAGGCTAACAATTGAAGTCTATTGTTTTCCACTCTGATCTGCCGCTTCTTGACCTTAAACAAATGTCAAAAAATATTTTATATTCATATTCATGTTTAATAAGGCTTAAAAGTTCAAATGTTGTCTTTTTTGGAACTGTTTTGAAGTAACAAGACATTGCAAGCATGCATTGATACTGTTATATACAGAACTTGTGTAAAACAAAGTACATAATACTGTTATACATTGTATATTGTAATCTTTTGCTATCAAAATCTTTTGTGACCTGGTTTATCAAAATTCAAATGTATACATGTACTGCAACCTTTTCTCACTAACTAGCCATATTGTATTTCTATTGTAAGATATTGGTTATATTGAATATAGAAATTGATCATGATTAAGGTAGTAATATAAAATTTTCTTCATTCCGATGTCAAAATTAGTAGATCTATTTGATGGAGTGGATAAAATGGAATATTTTGAAAAAAAAAATAACCAACCAACATGTTCATCTGCCATACGAAACATTTTGATATAAATATTTAGATTATAAGTGGGGTTACAAAATGAGAAGTAAGAAACCCTGAGAACGGTTTCAAAATGACAGAACTTTTCCATCAATCCAAACATATAAGGGAGTAACTTCCCCTAGACCCTCTTTTGGCAGGTAAAACTTGCATTTTGTGCATTGTACATTTAGAAGGCTAAACAAAATATAAAAAGGAACCATGCAGTATGCTGTTTTCTTAAACTACATAAGCCTTCATATATTTTTGTGCTACATTCAAATCAGTTCAATATTTTCACTCATTAATTATATCTATGCATGTGCATGAAAATTTAAACACAGTTGGTTAATAGAACAACACACGAAAAGATACCATGTATACATTGTGTGTACACTTTCTGCAAATAGTGCACACAACTGGGCAATTTAACAATCGATCATGTAAGTTTGGCTGAAATATAGCCCTGTTGTACCATAAAATGTGCAGTTAAGCGTGATATGGTAAGATCGTTTGATCAATGCTACGGATTGAAGAAGGTCCAGAAGGCTGGAGTGAAATAATGTTCACTGTATTAGTGTATACCTGTAAATATCCAATCGGTATATTTTGTTCTTTGTTTAATTCTTCAATGCATGTTACACGTTATTACATTGTACTCTCAGGTTTATTACATGTAACTACAGTGCATAGTGAGTTAAATGGAGTTGATCACCGAACAGAGAAGCACAGGGTGATTGAGAGTTATTTCCCCTGTTGCTTGTAAGCGATGTGTATCATGGTTATTTTGTAATTAGTGTAATGAAACATATTTATATCTAGATTGGGTGTTTTGTAAAATATCATTCATGCAATTAATTAAATGTATAGAATACTGTAATGTAAAAGAGAATGAACCAAAAGGGGGCAATTTGGCTATATTGCTTTTAGCAACTTCTTCTCTGGAACTAAGAGATGGATATCAACCATATTTGACTGGAAGCATCCCTAGGTAGTGGGGATTCAAAATTGTACAAATGGTGGGGCTGACCCCCCAGGGGGCTGAGGGGTGGGGCCAAAAGGGGCAATTAGGCTATATTGCTTTGAACAACTTCATCTGTAGAACTATGCGATAGATATTTATGATATTTGACTGGAAGCATCTCTAGGTAATGTTGATTCAAAATTGTACAAATGGTGGGGCTGACCCCCCAGGGGGCTGAAGGGCGGGTCCAAAAGGGGGCAATTTGGCTATATTGCTTTAAGCAACTTCTTCTTTGGAACTAAGAAATGGATATCAACCATATTTGACTGGAAGCATTCCTAGGTATTGGGGATTCAAAATTGTACAAATGGTTGGCCCCCACCCCCAAACAGGGGGTTAAAGGGAAGGACCAAAAGGTGGCAATTTGGCTTTATTGCTATAAACAACTTCTTCTGTAGAACTATCCACTGGATATAAATCATATTTGGTTGGAAGCATTCATGTGAAGTAGGGATTCAAAATTGTACAAATAGTGGAGGGCTGACCCCCCGGGCTAAGGGGTAGGGCCAAAAATAGTTTATTACTTGGAAATGGTTGAGATCCCAACCCTATAAACATATATACATTTGTATAGTTGCTGAGTATAAAGAGAAGAATGCACATATGCTTCCAGGATGGCACCGGGGTCTGGCTCCACCCTTGGAGACTTAACCCCTGGGTCATAACTTTGAACCTGTGGAGATCCCCACCCCAAAACTATATATACAATTGTTTGGTATAAAGAGACAAATGCTGTCATGATATTAGAATTGACCCTGGGATCTGCCCCACCCTTGTAAACTTAACCCCTGGGTCATAACTGTGAAAAGGTTGAGATCCCCACCCCAAAACTATATATACAACTGTTTGGCATAAAGAGACAAATGCTGTCATGATATAGAATTGACCCTGGGATCTGGGCCACACTTGCAAACTTAACCCCTGGGTCATAACTGTGAAAAGGTTGAGATCCCCGCCCCAAAACTATATATACAACTGTTTGGCATAAAGAGACAAATGCTGTCATGATATTAGAATTGACCCCAGTATCTGGCCCACCCTTGTAAACTTAACCCCTGGGTCATAACTTTGAAACGGTTGAGATTCCCACCCCAAAACTAGATATACAAATGCTGGGCATAAAGAGACAAATGCTGTTATGATATTAGAATTGACCCTGGGGTCTGGCCACAACCCTAGGGACTTTTAGTTTTGTAGTCATAGCTTGGAAACAGTTGAGATCCCCACCCCATAACCATACATAAACTTGCTGGGCATGAACATGTTACAAGGTTTGGTCTTAGGGTCTGGCCCATTCCCTTGGATCTTATTAGGAGAATATTTTGCCATGATTGCTTAGATATCCAGGTGAGCAATACAGGCCCTCTGGGCCTCTTGTTGAATATGCATTTTAGAATATAGCAGTACGTTTGTAAATTGGAAGTTGGACAGTTCTAGCTTTGACCCCGAGTAACGAAAGCATTGAGTTGCATTGAGCTGTTTATTACTCGTTCCTGTTAGGTTCTACAGCTGACTGTAACATAATAGGGAATCTTTTAAGGGGTCTCCTGCTAATAAATGAGGAGTTGACTGTTTTACATTGAGTGTTCTTGTGGTATTTTGAGAGTTGTGGTCAGAGTACTGTATTAAACAGAGGAACCCCAAGCCAACCAAATTGAACCTGGGTTGACAGTGGGACTCCGACGACAATGGCAGAGTCCAGTCCTGTTACACCTGTGTTGTGTATGTTACACCTTGTGTGGAAATTTCACACTAGTGTCTTTCTTCAGGTTGAAAAGTAATACTAAAATGTACCCATTACCTGGTAATTAACATTGTATCCGAGTGTACAGCACGTACATGCTGATGACTATCCATACACATGTCAATTAATCATAAGGTCAATACATAACTTTTTCCGATACTTGATATGCCCATTACTGGTATATATATAGACAGATAACCATGTACATTTGGTTGAAATATAGAAACAAACTTAAATCAGGAAAAATAAAAGTTTAAATACAAAATCGTATTAATTCACAATATCTATCGACCACGACACGTATTGAACAACTGTGTGATAGTTATCTATAGCTAAGTTGTGCACACGCTATTGTCTCGCAGTGTGTGGCTGGCTGTTCACACGCTAATTATCTCACAGCGTGTGGCTGGCTGTACACACGCTATTATCTCACAGTGTGTGGCTGGCTGTTCACATGCTATTATCTCACAGTGTGTGGCTGGCTGTACCCATGCTATTATCTCACAGTGTGTGGCTGGCTGTTCACATGCTATTATCTCACAGTGTGTGGCTGGCTGTTCACATGCTATTATCTCACAGTGTGTGGCTGGCTGTTCACATGCTATTATCTCACAGTGTGTGGCTGGCTGTACACATGCTATTATCTCACAGTGTGTGGCTGGCTGTACACACACTGTTATCTCACAGTGTTTGACTGGCTGTACACACGCTATTATCTCACAGTGCATGGCTGGCTGTACACACGCTATTATCTCACAGTGCGTGGCTGGCTGTACACATGCTATTATCTCACAGTGTGTGGCTGGCTGTACACATGGTGCGTACACCACATATACCCACACTGCACATTGTGTAAGTTGTGCAATGAAAATAAAAAAAATATAAAGGATTCAGAAAGAATTAAACAATTAATAGATAGTACAAGTTTAATTTAAATACAGGTACTGATAGTTGTAAAGCTGCATCCGTCATAATTACTTTATGGTTTTAGGAGACTGAGTATCTTTTTAACACATGTAGTGGTACATATGTATGTAACACAGTACAGTTCAAACATATTCGATGGGGTGCGTAACCTTCGGAGTGTTAGCACATTTGATTGGAACTGTGTTGGATACCATTACATTTTTATAACAATGGTAGAAACGCTATTACTTGTCAATCTGTATTTTTCAAATTTCGGTCACACTTGTTTTATCTGTAATGTTTTATCTCCTTAGCAACACCTTGGGACACACATTAACATTGATAGGCCTTGATGGACTTTGTGTAGTGAATACCTGAAATAGAGATATTGACCACGGTCAAGATGAAGCCGAGGTCAATATCAATTTTAGGTTCATATCTATACATATTTACCATCACAGAGTCTGTCATTAATTTGTTATAATCTTCAAAAATAAATTAAACAAAAAATCTTTTTAAAGTTCACAATCAGATGGTTTTGATGGGAAGTTTTGTGCAATGTTTAATTGTAAGTTTCAAATCAAACATCTTGGCTTAGAAAAAGTTGAAAAAAATATCAATCATGCTTACCAATACAGTATGTTGTGGGTGTCAAAAGACTACAAAACATAATTAAAGCCTTTAAAATACACATTTATCAATAACTTTTTATTAATGATAAACATCTAGGGAATTCCCCTGAAGACTACATTTTGAAAAACTCACCAGAAAACCATCTACATGAGATTTTTAAGAAGCTGTCATGTGTATAGGATCCAGCTAATGGGATTGCGAAAGATTATCTTGTATGTAATCATACAATTTTTAGTCATCACCATACAGGAACAGTTTTGATCATTTCCTGATGCATGAATTTTGAATAAAAGTGAAAAATGTATTTAATACGGTGGGAAAAAACCCCGTCTGACATCCAAAATACGAGTACACAAAATATTAAGTTAATAACAATATGCATTATCTGTGCAGGAAATCTTCAACATTTAATACATGTATTATAGGGAATGAAACATTGGACTGAGTACAACCTACATAGTGGCATGCCATTGAGATGTATCTCTATGGATTACGGTTGTAACAGAGGTTCCAGGCCATGGTTGATCTTTCAGTCAATAAATATAGATTGAACCACTATCTCATTTATTGGTATGGCTTCTGAGCTAAGATGTTATCAATATTAAATGATGAATTTTTAATAACATAATTATCTCTATAATTAATCAGTTCTAATTTACCTGAAGGTAATTGGATATTGAATATAGATCGAAGCAAGTATAGTAGTCACTGTTTATGATTTCAAATATTAAAAATATCCTAGAGTTAATCTGTTAATGAAATCAAATATTCTGCGGTTCCATATCTTCATCAACATTTTATCTACTGTGTCACTAGCCTATAAGGCAATCAACAGCTAGTGTCCAGTATTGTTTAATTTGAGGAACTTTTTCTTACATAAAAACAAAAACAGCTCTATGATCCAGAAACATATAAAATGTACCAGGTAAGGTAGTTGATCACATTTGTTTAATTTTCCACCAAACACTGTGCTACACACACTGCCAAGATCTTTCTGGAATGCTTTGTCATAGATACTTGGGCAAGAAAGCATCAATATTAAGTTTTAACATTATTTTTGTCGCTTAATATAAAATAGGACTGTTTTTTTTCTTTTTGGTTATAAACTGAGTAACACAATAATGGGAATGGGTGGGGGTGGGGGCGTGGGTGGGGGTGGAGGTCAAGTGGTTAAGGCATGTGACCATTCACAATCACTGGCTCTCTCCACCACTGGGTAATGCAGGTTTCTCAGGGTACTCCGGTGGCTAGTCTCCGCCACCATAACCTGGCACATCTTTAAATGACCATGGCTGTTAATAGGACGTAAAACACAAACAAACCAAACCAGTTTTGTTCAGTCTTGAAAAAAAGGGAAGTAACTAATTTTATATTCTTCAGCTGCTTCAGATGACACTTCACTTATTAAACACATAGAAATTACCGTAGTATCATTAGTACAACCAAACAGAATTGTAATAGTCTAAAGCCTTGTAGCGGAATTTCATATATATAGTGAAACCTGCATAGAAAGAACACCCAAGGGAAAGCTCAAAAGAGGTCTCCAATAGCAGAGATGATTTCTTCATAGAGTATTGCTATTTAGTAACCTGATTTTGTAGGGATGAGAAATTTAAAGATGTTGGTCTCTTATATTTAGAAGAGAGGCTAATTTAATTAATTTAGGTTTAGACTTACAAACAGTTTCTACAGTGTATCAACTATCAAAGGGACTATCAACACCTTTCATATGAAGCCTGTTTAGTCCCCGACTGGTATTACTGGGTTGGATTTTTGCACTTCATCTGTCAGTAAGTCAGATGGTCAGTGCATCGCTTTGTCCTGGTTGGGGTATATCTTACACAGTGTCACATACAATTGCCAAATTGTGTATGCAAATTTCATCATTGGATGGCAGAATACACAGAACTCAGGTCTTGTTATTCACTCCTCTGTTCCAGAAACACTTGTTATCTCACCTTGCATGAAGTGCTTGTGAGCTTATGCCGTGGCGTGGTGTCCATTGTCTGTCGTCCGGCATCCTTCGTCTGTTGTCCACCGTCAACTTTTCCATTCAAACAACTTTTTTCCCCTCAATAATGAACAAAGCAAGGGTGATGATAGTTGACCAGTAGCATGCAGCTATGCTGGACAGTGGTATGAAGGACGATCAAGTTTGTTCAAATGAGTAACCTTGAACAAATTTCAAGGCCAAAGGGGTTAAAGGATTAAAATATTTAAACAACTTATTCTGAATAATAAAAAGATATAGGGTAAAGCTATTGGCCTGTAACATGTTTGATAAAGGGTTTCAAAGTGAATTACCTTGACCTTTAAGGTCACAGGGGGTCAAATGTGTTAAAAATGTTCTCAAATTTCTTCTTAATAACCAAAAAGCTTTAGGGTGGTGATATTTTACCAATAGCGTGCTGAAATGAAGGGCTACCAAGGTTGTTAAAAGAAATTATCTGGACCCACTTTCAAGGTCACAGGGGTTAAAAGTGTTAAAATCTTTTAACTGGTTCTTCTGAACAATTAGCCTATATAATTAGGCCTGTGGCTTTATTTAGTCCGTTCAAATGCATTCCCCTTTTTGTTCTCTTTTTAAGGTTACTGGTTTGAGATTAATATCGACGACTTATACAGGCCCATTGAGCCTCTTGTTTGTCATTTATTATTAAAAATGATAAAAAATGTCTGGTCCTGGGAGCTGGGAATCTGTTGTTGTTTAAAAAGAATATAGTTTCCCTTGGGGTTCAAATAACACAAGAAATAAGTGAGCATTACAGGCCACAGGGGCCTCTTGTCTAACTGCATTTATTAAAACCTTTTTCATATAAGCACTGACATGTTATTGTAAATATGGTCTATGCAAAGTTGATTTTTCTCTCTGTTGGATTATAGCTATAGTGCCATTTCTTAAACCTGATGGGTTTTATTTTCTCAAAGGGACATTCATCACCTGACACACAACAACAAATTTTGGTGTGATAAATTGATTTTAAACAAGTCAAAGCTCGTTAGACCATTAACTGTCAAAAATGTAATATAATATGTCGGATATTGTAACAGTGCCACGCTTTTAATTTGACAAATTTTTCCAAATTTGGTCAGTTTAGGCGATAATGGCTCATCATATTGATCTAATAAATTGGTCGCTCTAAATATTTGCACTTTGTTTAAGAAACGTGACAAATGATATTTGTCGAGTTAAAAAGGATGGCTATCTTTGGTGTCATGTTTTCGATAACAGTCTTGTTTAATTTGGACAGGAATGGACCACAACGCCCTTGTTCGTACTTTAGAGACCACCATCATGCAGCCTGGAGTACGTCCGTCCCTCGTTACGGTAAGACCTAAACACTAAAAACACCCAGATTATCTTTTATATAGAACTCACATTTGGAAATATGATCCAGAACAAGTTATAAGCTCATTACATTGGTATTTGGATGTAATCTTCAAATCAAATCTTCAACAGATCTATAATGCAGCCTTCAGTCATAGAACACTTTGCTAGTAACTTATTTACTCATTATCCAGGTACTGCTGGGGAGTAGGGCCAACAGTTCTGTTTATGTTAATGACCTTGATCCACCTTCACAGAAGTCAGATTTATTTAATTATTTGAAACGATCTATGTACTGATTGTGCAGTAGCAAACTTAAATTCAAAAAATAAGTTTGTTCAAGTTAATGAAGACTTGATCAATTTTTCAATTTTAAGGGTCATATAGATGTGAAATGTGTTAAAAATCCTAATGTAAAGATTTTGACTAACTCTTGTGGTCACATGTCAGACATGTTAAAAAAGAGACAAAACCAGGTATATATGTGGTTAAAACTATTAGGCCTTTTGTTTTTGCTTAGACAGATCTTGAATAAACTTGTAACTTATAAATTACACAGCCAAACTTTCAGAAGAATTCTGTATAGAAAATGATGTGATATCAAATTCGTTCTCTAACCTATTTTTTACGAGTTTTATGTGTAATCTGCTCTTCTGAATATGTCAATTTTTTGTCCAATAATTGCATTTTCTTACGAAGAGTTTCACTAAAATTGAATAAAATTGATACATCTGTGCTGTCTTGAGACATATACGTTTCTATGGAAAAATCTGAAAGAACGTTTTATAGCTTTCGGTAATAATTGAATCCAGAGAAGCCAAAAATAATTTCAAAGAGATATTTATTATGTCATAAATCTAACGTAAAAACGAAATTTGTAGCTCATGTGGAGTACAGACCACTGTCAGATTAAGTAAGCCATATAATACATAGATGTTCACCAGGATATTGTAGCGGTAAATTTAATTAAAATGTCTTTTCTCAAAACGGAAAACATTTCTAACTACAAATTCGACCTGTCACTTTTTGCCGAAAGTATTGACATATTTTAATAGGAATTACAGGAAATTATTGTTTGTGTTTGTAGAAAAGTTCTAGACAGTTTTGTGTGATAAATATCTATTAAAACTTACCTGACAGACTTGGGGTCTATCTGGTTGGAGATTGGACATTTTAGCCGAGGAGTTGGTATAATTTTTAGCTCACCTGGTCCGAAGGACCAAGGTGAGCTTATGCCATACCGTGGCGTCCGTCGTCCGTCCGTCGTCCGTCGTCCGTACATCAACAATTTCTTTAAACGACTTCTTCTTCTTAACCACTGGTTGGAATTAAACTAAATTTGACTGGAAGCATCCCTAGGTGGTGGGGATTCAAAATTGTACAAATGGTTGGGCTGACCCCCCAGGGGGCTGAGGGGCGGGGCCAAAAGGGGTCAATTTGCCCATATTGCTTTAAGCGACTTCTTCTCTGAAACTAAGAAGTGGATATCAACCATATTTGACTGGAAGCATCCCTAGGTGGTGGTGATTAAAAATTGTACAAATGGTGGGGCTGACTCCCCAGGGGGCTAAGGGGCGGGGCCAAAAGGGGGCAATTTGGCTATATTGCTACAAACGACTTCTTCTGTAGAACTGTGCACTGGATATCAATCATATTTGATCAAAAGCATTCCTGGGAGGCAGGGATTTAAAATTGTACAAATGGTGTGGCTGACCCCCCAGGGGGCTGAGGGGCAGGGCCAAAAAGGGTATTTGGCTATACTGCTTTAAGTGACTTCTTCTCTGGAACTAAGTGATGGATATCAACCTTATTTGACTGGAAGCATCTCTAGGTGGTGGAGATTCAAAATTGTACAAACGGTTGGGCTGACCCCCCAGGGGGCTGAGGGGCGGGGCCAAAAGGGGGCAATTTGGTTATATTGCTATAAATGACTTCTTCTGCAGAACTATGCCATGGATATTGATCATATTTGGTCGGAAGTATTCATGGGAGGCAGGGATTCAAAATTGTACAAATGGTGGGGCTGACCCCCCGGGCTAAGGGGTGGGGCCAATAAAATGTATTACTTGGAAATGGTTGAGATCCCCACCATATAACCATATATACAATTGCTGAGTATAAAGAGAAGAATGCACATTTGCTTCCAGGATGTCCCTAGGGTCTGGCCCCACCCTTGGAGACATAGTCCCTGGGCCATAACTTTAAAACGGTTGAGATCCCCACCCCAAAACTATATATACAAATGCTGGGCATAAAGAGACGAATGCAATCATGATATCAGAATAGACCCTGGGGTCTGACCGAACCCCTAGGGACCTAGTTTCTTAGTCACAGCTTGGAAACAGTTGAGAGCCCCACCCTATAACCGTATATATACAATTGCTGAGTATAAAGAGATGATTGCACATATGCTTCCAGGTTGGCCTTGGGGACTGCCCCACCCTTGGAGACTTAACCCCTGGGTCATAACTTTGAAATGGTTAATATCCCCACCCCAAAACTATATATACAATTGTTGGGCATAAAGAGACGAATGCAGTCATGACATTAGAATTGGTCCCAGGGTCTGCCCCACCCTTGCAGACTTGGCCCCTGGGTCATAACTTTGAAACGGTTGAGATCCCCACCCCAAAACTATATATACAAATGCTTGGCAAAAAGAGACAAATGCAGTCACAATATTAGAATCGATCCTGGGGTCTGGCCACAACTCTAGGGACCTAGTTTCTGAGTCAAAGCTTGGAAACAGTTGAGATCCCCACCCCATAACCATACATAAAATTGCTGGGCATGAAAAATGTAATATAGCTATGCTACAAGGATTGGCCTATGGGTCTGGCCTATTCCCTTGATCTCATTTTGAGAATAGTTTGCCATGATTGCTTAGGTATCCAGGTGAGCGATACAGGCCCTCTTGGCCTCTTGTTTTTTATTGGATGAAGTACTGGTATTTTAAGTCTTTTACGTTATGTTCAGGTATCGGTTTAACTGATGAGCATGATATTTTTTGGAATTCATTGATTGATATTTTTTACATTTGCTTTGCAATGTTACTATGTAAACAAGGCAATATCCTTTTGGGTCATATAACATGATTTATGACCCTTACACTATTCATGTTAATTCCCTGTAATATGGTGGGCATTCATATTGCCTATGAACAGCATCTGAATTCAGTTTAATGTTTTAAGTATTCCGACAGGCTGTACATATACCTTGGATCAAAGGCTATGATCAAGGTCAAAGCAAGGGTTCAGATGTAAAGTACTCACAGTAATACTTGTCCAGAATGTTACTTTCCCACTATACTGAATATAATTTGCTCTGTGCAATCCTTTGTATCAATGTGTCTAGATATTGTTTTTACTTCACTCATGAATCTACCTCCAAGGTCACAGTCAAGGGTCAAGGGCAATGCTTTACATGTCTGGACTAGATTTTTGAACTACACAAAACTCCTTTTTTTTGAAAATCTTCATAGAAAGGTGTATTATAATACGATAGTCAATTACAAAACACAAATCTGAACCTCAAAATACAAGGTCATATCAAAGGTCAAAGGTGAAATCATTTCAATAAAAGTTCCTTTTTATAAAGGCAGACCATATATATACATTGAGAGATAAATGGATTATTGTTGTGCCGTGACATCCATTGTCTGTCTGTCAACATTTTGTTATAACAACACACATGTAGCTTGCTGGGGTGATGGTCTCTCAAGTTTATATAAAGAAATGACCTTGACACATGTTCAAGTTTGTGGGTCAGGTACATTAACATTTTGATATATAACTTTGATTAAATTGAATAATAATATTATTAGAATGTATGAGAATGAAAGATAGAATGATTGGTTGCTTGAGAGAAGAAACGAAAGAGAAGAGTGAATGAAGGGGAAGAGTTGCCTCCTGTATGAGGCAACATGATGAAAGAGATAAACCCGGGCCACCCTAACCCTGGCATTCCTCCTAAAAGATGCCAGCGAAATAAAATCTAATTTGAACCCCAAAAAAAACATTGATGAAACTAAAAGCTTGCATTTAACATACATTCAATAGACTCCACATTTTGAACTGATAACTTTACATACCTACAGCAGTAACTAACTTTTTAAATAATTAAGTTTGAAATATGTTGTTATAGGTGATGTGGGATGAAAAAACTGTGGAACATGCAGAACTTGCTGATCTGTTTAGTTACAATAATCACAGCTTGGAGGGAAGTCTGAACTATATCGGTGAGTGTATTGTTGACCCTTACTTTTCAGTGTATTGTTGACCCTAACTATCAGTGTATTGTTGGCGCTTATTTTTCAGTGTATTGTTAAACCTTACTTTTCAGCTTATTGTTGACCCTAATTTTCAGTGTATTGTTGAACCTTTCTTTCAGTCTATTGTTGTCCCTTATTTTTCAGTGTATTGTTCAGTGTATTGTTGGACCTTACTTTTCAGTGTATTTATGATCCTTACTTTTCAGTGTATTTATGATCCTTACTTTTCAGTGTATTGTTCAGTGTATTGTTGAACCTTTATTTCAGTGTATTGTTGGACCTTACTTTTCAGTATATTGTTGCCCCTAACTTTCAGTGAATTCAGTGTATTGTTGACCCTAACTTTCAGTGTATTGTTGAACCTTTCTTTCAGTGTATTGTTGAACCTTTCTTTCAGTCTATTGTTGACCCTTACTTTTCAGTCTATTGTTGACCCTAACCTTCAGTCTATTGTTGACCCTAACTTTCAGTGAATTCAGTGTATTGTTGACCCTATCTCTCAGTGTATTGTTGACCCTAATTTTCAGTGTATTGTTGACCATCACTTTCTGTCTATTGTTGACCCTAACTTTCAGTCTATTGTTGACCCTTACTTTTCAGTCTATTGTTGACCCTAACCTTCAGTCCATTGTTGACCCTAACTTTCAGTGTATTGTTGACACTAACTTTCCAGTGTATTGTTGAACATTACTTTTCAGTGTATTGTTGAACCTTATTTTTCAGTGTATTGTTGACCCGAACTTTCAGTGTATTGTTATTGTTGACCCTTAGTGTATTGTGGATCCTAACTTTCAGTCTATCGTTGACTCTAACTTTCAGTGTATTGTTGACCCTAACTTTCAGTGTATTGTTGACCCTTACTTTCAGTGTATTGTTGAACCTTTCTTTCAGTGTATTGTTAACCCTTACTTTTCAGTCTATTGTTGACCCTAACCTTCAGTCCATTGTTGACCCTAACTTTCAGTGTATTGTTGACCCTACTGTTGACCCTAACTTTCAGTGTATTGTTGACTCTAACTTTCAGTGTATTGTTGACCCTAACTTTCTGTCTATTGTTGACCCTAACTTTCAGTCTATTGTTGACCCTTACTTTTCAGTATATTGTTGACCCTAACTTTCAGTGTATTGTTGACCCTAACTTTCAGTGTATTGTTGACACTAACTTTCCAGTGTATTGTTGAACATTACTTTTCAGTGTATTGTTGAACCTTATTTTTCAGTGTATTGTTGACCCGAACTTTCAGTGTATTGTTGATGCTAACTTTAAGTGTATTGTGGATCCTAACTTTCAGTCTATCGTTGACTCTAACTTTCAGTGTATTGTTGACCCTAACTTTCAGTGTATTGTTGACCCTTACTTTCAGTGTATTGTTGAACCTTTCTTTCAGTGTATTGTTAACCCTTACTTTTCAGTCTATTGTTGACCCTAACCTTCAGTCCATTGTTGACCCTAACTTTCAGTGTATTGTTGACCCTACTGTTGACCCTAACTTTCAGTGTATTGTTGACTCTAACTTTCAGTGTATTGTTGACCCTAACTTTCTGTCTATTGTTGACCCTAACTTTCAGTCTATTGTTGACCCTTACTTTTCAGTATATTGTTGACCCTAACTTTCAGTGTATTGTTGACCCTAACTTTCAGTGTATTGTTGACACTAACTTTCCAGTGTATTGTTGAACATAACTTTTCAGTGTATTGTTGAACCTTATTTTTTAGTGTATTGTTGACCCTAACTTTCTGTCTATTGTTGACCCTAACTTTCAGTGTATTGTTGATACTAACTTTCAGTCTATCGTTGACCCTAACTTTCAGTGTATTGTTGACCCTTACTTTCAATGTATTGTTGACCCTTACTTTCAGTATATTGTTGACCCTTACTTTTCAGTGTGTTGTTGACCCTTACTTTTCAGTGTATTGTTGAACCTTATTTTTCAGTTTATTGTTGACCCTAACTTTCAGTGTATTGTTGACCCTAACTTTCAGTGTATCGTTGACCCTAACTTTAAGTATATTGTTGACCCTAACTTTCAGTCTATTGTTGACCCTTACTTTTCAGTATATTGCTGACCCTAACTTTCAGTCTATTGTTGACCCTAACTTTCAGTGTATTGTCGACCCTAACTTTCAGCGTATTGTTGACCCTAACTTTCAGTGTATTGTTGAACCTTTCTTTCAGTGTATTGTTGACCCTAACTTTGAGTGTATTGTTGACCCTAACTTTGAGTGTATTGTTGATCCTAACTTTCAGTGTATTGTTGACCCTAACTTTCAGTGTATTGTTGAACCTTACTTTTCAGTATATTGTTGACCCTAACTTTCAGTGTATTGTTGACCCTAACTTTGAGTGTATTGTTGACCCTAACTTTCAGTGTATTGTTGCCCCTAACTTTCAGTGTATTGTTGACCCTAACTTTCAGTATATTGTTGACCCAAACTTTCAGTATATTATTGACCCTAACTTTCAGTGTATTGTTGAACCTTTCTTTCAGTGTATTGTTGACCCTAACTTTGAGGGTATTGTTGACCCTAACTTTGAGTGTATTGTTGACCCTAACTTTCAGTGTATTGTTGAACCTTATTTTTCAGTGTATTGTTGACCCGAACTTTCAGTGTATTGTTGATGCTAATTCTAAGTGTATTGTGGACCCTAACTTTTAGTCTATCGTTGACCCTAACTTTCAGTGTATTGTTGACCCTAACTTTCAGTGTATTGTTGACCCTAACTTTCAGTGTATTGTTGAACCTTTCTTTCAGTGTATTGTTAACCCTTACTTTTCAGTCTATTGTTGACCCTAACTTTCAGTGTATTGTTGACCCTAACTTTCAGTGAATTCAGTGTATAATTGACCCTAACTTTCAGTGTATTGTTGACTCTAACTTTCAGTGTATTGTTGAACCTCACTTTCAGTGTATTGTTGAACCTAACTTTCTGTCTATTGTTGACCCTACCTTTCAGTGTATTGTTGATACTAACTTTCAGTCTATCGTTGACCCTAACTTTCAGTGTATTGTTTACCCTAACTTTCAGTATATTGGTGACCCTAACTTTCAGTCTATTGTTGACCCTTACTTTTCAGTATATTGTTGACCCTAACTTTCAGTCTATTGTTGACCCTTACTTTTCAGTATATTGTTGACCCTTACTTTCCAGTGTATTGTTGACCCTTACTTTCAGTCTATTGTTGACCCTGACCCTAACTTTCAGTGTATTGTTGATACTAACTTTCAGTCTATCGTTGACCCTAACTTTCAGTGTATTGCTGACCCTTATTTTTCAGTGTATTGTTGACCCTTACTCCTAACCCTAACCCTAACCCTAACCCTAACTTTCTGTCTATTGTTGACCCTACCTTTCAGTGTATTGTTGATACTAACTTTCAGTCTATCGTTGACCCTAACTTTCAGTGTATTGTTGTCCCTAACTGTCAGTGTATTGTTGACACTAACTTTCCAGTATATTGTTGAACATTACTTTTCAGTGTCTTGTTGAACCTTATTTTTTAGTGTATTGTTGAACCTAACTTTCTGTCTATTGTTGACCCTACCTTTCAGTGTATTGTTGATACTAACTTTCAGTCTATCGTTGACCCTAACTTTCAGTGTATTGCTGACCCTTATTTTTCAGTGTATTGTTGACCCTTACTTTTCAGTGTATGGTTGAACTTTATTTTTCAGTGTATTGTTGACTACCTTTCAGTGTATTGTTGACCCTAACTGTCAGTGTTTTGTTGACACTAACTTTCCAGTGTATTGTTGGACATTACTTTTCAGTGTATTGTTGACCCTTACTCCTAACCCTAACCCTAACCCTAACCCTAACTTTCTGTCTATTGTTGACCCTAACTTTCAGTGTCTTGTTGACCCTAACTTTCAGTGAATTCTGTGTATAATTGACCCTAACTTTCAGTGTATTGTTGAACCTCACTTTTCAGTATATTGTTGACCCTAACTTTCAGTCTATTGTTGACCCTTACTTTCAGTCTATTGTGGGCCCTTACTTTTCAGTATATTGTTGACCCTTACTTTCCAGTGTATTGTTGACCCTTACTTTCAGTGTATTGTTGACCCTTTCTTTCAGTGTATTGTTGACCTTAACTTTCAGTGTATTGCTGACCCTTATTTTTCAGTGTATTGTTGACCCTTACTCCTAACCCTAACCCTAACCCTAACCCTAACTTTCTGTCTATTGTTGACCCTAACTTTCAGTCTATTGTTGACCCTTACTTTTCAGTATATTGTTGACCCTAACTTTCAGTATATTGTTGACCCTAGCTTTCAGTGTATTGTTGACCCTAACTGTCAGTGAATTGTTGACACTAACTTTCCAGTGTACTGTTGAACATTACTTTTCAGTGTATCGTTGAACCTTATTTTTTAGTGTATTGTTGAACCTAACTTTCTGTCTATTGTTGACCCTAACTTTCAGTCTATTGTTGACCCTCTTTCAGTGTATTGTTGACCCTAACTTTCAGTGTATTGTTGACCCTTACTTTTCAGTGTATTGTTGAACTTTATTTTTCAGTGTATTGTTGACTAACTTTCAGTGTATTGTTGACCCTAACTTTCAGTGTATTGTTGACACTAACTTTCCAGTGTATTGTTGAACATTACTTTTCAGTGTATTGTTGACCCTTACTTTAGTGTATTGTTGACCCGTTACTTTTCAGTGTATTGTTGACCCTTACTTTTCAGTGTATGGTTGAACTTTATTTTTCAGTGTATTGTTGACTAACTTTCAGTGCATTGTTGACCCTAACTTTCAGTGTATTGTTGACCCTAACTTTCAGTCTATTGTTGACCCTTATTTTTCAGTGTATTGTTGACCCTAACTTTCAGTGTATTGTTGACTCTAACTTTCAGTGTATTGTTGACCCTTACTTTCATTGTATTTTTGACCCTAACTTTCAGTCTATTGTTGACCCTTACTTTTCAGTATATTGTTGTCCCTTTCTTTCCAGTGTATTGTTGACCCTTTCTTTCAGTGTATTGTTGACTCTACCTTTCAGTGTATTGTTGACTCTACCTTTCAGTGTATTGTTGACTCTAACTTTCAGTGTATTGTTGCCTCTAACTTTCAGTGTATTGTTAACACTAACTTTCCAGTGTATTGTTGACCCTTACTTTTCAGTATATTGTTGACCCTAACTTTCAGGGTATTGTTGACCCTAACTTTCAATGTATTGTTGACACTAACTTTCCAGTGTATTGTTGACCCTTTCTTTCAGTGTATTGTTGACTCTACCTTTCAGTGTATTGTTGACTCTAACTTTCAGTGTATTGTTGACCCTTACTTTTCAGTGTATTGTTGACCCTTACTTAAGTGTATTGTTGACCCGTTACTTTTCAGTGTATTGTTGACCCTTACTTTTTAGTGTATTGTTGAACCTTATTTTTCAGTGTATTGTTGACCCTAACTTTCAGTCTATTGTTGACCCTAACTTTCAGTGTATTGTTGAACCTAACTTTCAGTGTATCTTTTCAGTGTATTGTTGACCCTTATTTTTCAGTGTATTGTTGACCCTTACTTTCAGTATATTGTTGACCCTAACTTTCAGTCTATTGTTGACCCTTATTTTTCAGTGTATTGTTGACCCTAACTATCAGTGTATTGTTGACCCTTATTTTTCAGTGTATTGTTGACCCTTACTATCAGTGTATTGTTGACCCTTACTTTCAGTCTATTGTTGACCCTTACTTTTCAGTATATTGTTGACCCTTACTTTCCAGTGTATTGTTGACCCTAACTTTCAGTATGTTGTTGACTGTTACTTTCAGTGTATTGTTGACCCTTACTTTCAGTCTATTGTTGACCCTTACTTTCAGTCTATTGTTGACCCTTACTTTCAGTCTATTGTTGACCCTTACTTTCAGTCTATTGTTGACCCTTACTTTTCAGTATATTGTTGACCCTTACTTTCCAGTGTATTGTTGACCCTAACTTTCAGTATGTTGTTGTCTGTTACTTTCAGTGTATTGTTGACCCTTACTTTCAGTATATTGATGACCCTTACTTTCAGTGTATTGTTGACCCTTACTTTTCAGTGTATTGTTGACCCTTACTTTCAGTCTATTGTTGACCCTTACTTTTCAGTATATTGTTGACCCTAACTTTCAGTCTATTGTTGACCCTTATTTTTCAGTGTATTGTTGACCCTAACTATCAGTGTATTGTTGACCCTTATTTTTCAGTGTATTGTTGACCCTTACTATCAGTGGATTGTTGACCCTTACTTTCAGTCTATTGTTGACCCTTACTTTCAGTCTATTGTTGACCCTTACTTTCAGTCTATTGTTGACCCTTACTTTCAGTCTATTGTTGACCCTTACTTTTCAGTATATTGTTGACCCTAACTTTCAGTGTATTGTTGACTCTAACTTTCAGTGTATTGTTGACCCTAACTTTCAGTATGTTGTTGACTGTTACTTTCAGTGTATTGTTGACCCTTACTTTCAGTATATTGTTAACTGTTACCGTCAGTATATTGTTGACTCTTATTTTCAGTGTATTGCTTACTTGAAGTGTATCAATCATTTTGATTTTAAAGGTAAATACTACAAAGTACCAAATATTTATGAAAAATTTGGCAGACAAATCAAATTAATATCAACCCAGAACAAAGATTCCGATAATGACTGGTTTTGTGGTGTCAGAAGTTCAGGTGTGCAGGTACATTGTAACACTATATACATATGATGATAAGATTAGTCACATATTGAAACTCAGTTTTCCTAAAAGATTTTTTTGTGTTTAGACCAGATGCAGAAGGCATTGACAGCGGGATGGAAACTCATTCCTGAAGCTGTGAGTATTTCTTACAGAACCTTTGAAAGTATATGGATTTTAAGTTGATTCTGTCAGAATAGTGTCAGACAAAGTCACACTTCTTCCCCTTGTAAACTCATTGTTATGTTCATCATGTCCAATGTTTCAGTTTAACTTGACCTTTGACTTTGAAGTTGACAGTGTAAATGATTTAGTTTTTCAAATCAAACAAAATGTCTGTAAAAAAATTAACTTTTCTAAAGTTTGTCAATTAAAGCATTGTGATGCCTTTTACATGTTTTAATCTTTCAGAAATACCTGATAGTTTTAGAGGAGGAGATCGTTTTGGCTCCTGACTTCCTGTCCTTCCTAGGCCAAAGTTTGGTCATAGTTGAGTCTGATGCTACCCTGTTAGGAGTGTCCGCCTGGAACTATAACGGTCAGTACCTACCAGGGTTTACCTGTGAGTTACACTTTTACCTGAGAATTGACGTTTCTCTTGTTCCTGTTAGAATTCTGGTGAAAAGTACTTTTTCATACCTAGGGGTGTAGGACAAGGAAATTCCACCCTCAGAATTTTGAAATTTGGGCAGACCACAGGCTTTACCTACTTATAAACTCCTGGGGTGGAATTTCTCTATCCTACACCCCGGGGCATAAACAAGCCTTATTATCTTCCTTAAACATATGTTTACTGAAATAATCCAGAATTTCAAAATGTTTGTCAATTCACAGTCTTACCAGTATTTCTAATTGATAGAAGAAATTTATGAACCAGTATTTCTAATTGAAAGAAGAAATTTATGATTTCTTAGTTTAGACATAGACAGATTGCAAGGTTTGACTGTGTACTGTACAGGTTACGACACCACCTCCGGAGACAGGACAATGGTATATCGAGTTGAAGAATTCCCTGGACTCGGATTCCTGCTGAAGCGAAGCGTGTATGACACATACATGAAAGATCACATGTCAACATGTTGCTCACAAAGGTATGGAAGTATTGGATTTTAAAAGCCTTTCAAAAACTCAAAAGATTATTTCTTTTATAATACAATAATATTTGTATATTACTTTAACTTTTGTCAAGAAAAGTACTCTGAAGGCACTTAACATCAAGGGATTACAGACATTGAAAAACAGCCAAAGCTCATGATAATGTACCATGACAACCTGTTTTGTACCTCCAATACTTGTGATATATGACTGTGTTCTGAAGATTGTATACTTGTTTGCACTTCTTGAAAAATCATAATGGTGACATTATTATCATACACAAAATTAATTTATCTTATAGAAATCATGATAAAACTTTTATCTGCTTCCTAGGGTTTGGAACAGTTGGGCACTAGCTGGAGAGGATGTTGTCGGTGAAATCCTGGTACCGGATGTGTCACGAGTTTACCGTCAGCCATACCAGACATGGAATACCGACGAAGACTACCTCACAGAACTTTTCAACAAACCAAGACTCACTAATTTGTAAGCTCCTTCTTGTATTTAAAATGTGTCTGCATTGATCAATGGTGAGCAGAGCTGAATCTGGAATGAGGGAACATTCACCAGAGATACATAGCTATAGGGGGGCATCACCAGAGATAAATAGCTATAGGGGGACATCACCAGAGATATGTAGGTATAGGGGGACATCACCAGAGATGTGTAGGTATAGGGGGACATCACCAAAGATGTGTAGCTATAGGGGGACATCACCAGAGATGTGTAGCTATAGGGGGACATCACCAGAGATGTGTAG